ATCAGGAGCGACAAGTCAAGGAGCACCCCCAGACTGTGAACACAGTCCATGATGGAGAGTGTGACCCCATCCAGGACCGGAGGTTGCAACCCAATTCTTGGTTTCATGGCCTCCGTTTTTTCTGGATTCAGTCTCAATCTGTTTTTCCTCATCCAGCCCATTACTGCCCGAAGACATTTATTGAGAGAGGAGATGCCATTGGAATTTGAGGCCAACGAACAAAACATGGAGAAATAGATCTGGGTGTCATAAGCATACTCAGGCATAGATCTTTGGGAGGGGGAAAACTTTGTCTCACTGGTGGAAAGGGGAGGGAGAAGTATCTAGCTTTTTCTTGTTACCTATGCTTCTGTGCCCCTTCTCCCTAGTCCAGGAGTAGGCAACCTTTCCCCTTTAAGGGCCGAGGGACTTCAGCTCCCAGAAGCCTCAGCCATGTTGGCCAATAGTCCCATGTTGGCCAATAGCTCCTGGGATTCTGGGAGTTGAAGTCCCTCAGCCCTTAAAGGAGAAAGGTTGCCTACCCCTGCTCTAGAAGGTAATCCCACTTGACAGAATTTTACAGTACCTCATTTTACTTCACAATGTGCTCTGGATTCAAGTAAGAGTGGTCATGTCCCATTTCTAACTTGTCAATTCAACCAAGGGCCCTTTTTTGTTACACAACTGTAGCACTGTCATTCCAATTTAATTGCCATGGCTCCATCCTATGGTATCCTGGGGTTTGAAGTCTGGTGAAGCATTACAGCTCTCTGGCTGAGAATACTGAATAGTCCTGAAACTTCCAAATCCAGTATTCCACAGGATGGAATCATGACATTTAAATTGGAATCATAGTGTTATTGTGTTGTGTGAAAATGCACCTGGATACTAATTCTAGCTGATATAGGATAAAACAATATTGTAGCCATTTGGTGCTTTTGCAGTTTTTGAAGTGTGAAAAAGCAGGCAACATTTAGGGGTTCACTTAGAAAGGATCATTAAAATATTTATATCTATGTCTGTATTAAATCCCCCTGAAATCCTTTGACATCCATATTAGATAATAAAGCTTACAAATTACATATTTAACTTTGTTCTGTTTCTTAGAACTACAGTCCCCACTAGGCAAACTCTTGGAGAAATTCTCTTTAAAATAAACTATCATAATAATGCAGTTGGAGATTTTCAAGTTTACTGAAGTGGGATGTCTTCCCAGGTCAACATGTATAAAATTTCTGCCTATTTTTATAGCCTATTTTAGTACTGATTTTTTTTCATGATAGATTTAGCCAGAGCTTGGAAGAAATACCTTTTTGGACAACAGCTCCCAGAATCCCTTAGTCATCATGACCCCTTCCAATACATTCCTAGTATGACAGAGATATCTGTACACATCTAAGTACATCTATGATTAGTGAAATTAGAGCAAATGTTCCTCACTACCTTCATTGCAAACTGAATTTGGAAAGCAAGAGTGGCTAGTCAGTGGGATAAGGAATGTGCTGTAGGTTTTACTTTGGACAACTTCTTTAAAGTGCAAATTAAAAAGTTAATAATAAAATTGAGAGCAGATTCATCATTCTACCAACATGGTTTCACAATCCACTAGTGATAGAAAGATGGATTATAAGCTTTGGATGATGGAAAGAGG